TTACTAGAGTGTTGGTGTGGACCAGTTTGTTGTTGGATACATTGTAGACAACCTCACTAATCCTTTGTGTTATTTGCCTGTATAACACTCCATATCCCAGGATAAGTTGTCCACATCCAGCCTCAAGGCACAGTACTTCTTGCTACCTTCTGGTAAATGGACTGTATGTGTGCTGTGTGGGCCAATCTTAGTGTTGGCAGCAGGGTGCCCCAGCTCATATTTTTGCTTCTTGTGGTAGGGCTTTCTCTTGCCCCTGGTCTTACAGTGCTAGTGCCAGTTGTCCCAAGAGATGCCCATGGCTTGGTGCCACCTGGAAAGAGCCAGTGTGGGTTTTTAGAGTTAAATTTAATTAATTAAAGTTAAAAAATTTGTAAGTTCAGTTCCTAGCCACATTTCAAATGCTCAATAACCATATAGGATAGTGGTAATTATATTGGACAACACAACTCTTTACCAGCTGGCCCCTCTTTGACCAGAAAGTCTCCCGCTTCCTCCTTTGCTCATTCTGCTCCAGCTTTGATGGCCTCTGTTGTTAGCACAGCAGATACTTCCCATTTCAGAGCCTTTGCATTTGCTATTCTCTTTGCTTAAAAAGCTTTGCTCCCAGATAGCTGTAAGACTTAGTCCTCCACCTTTTTCAGGTCTTTGTTCAGATGTTACCTTCTTTTATTTTTTTCCCAAATTATAAGAGAAAGTTTATTTAGAAAGTTACAGGGGCAGTTAAAAGTGAGCCATAGAAGAAATGGGCTAAGGAAACAAGTTACAGAGTCAAAAGAAGGGTCCTTAGGAGGAGGAGGTGGCTTTTCCTGAGCAACCTATTTAATATCTGGACCAATTGCCTTCTTTCTCAAATTCTTTCAAATCCAGACTGTCTTTTGAAAGAAGAGAGAAGAGGGCTGAGAGGGGAGAGATGACCTGATTTACAAAAGAAAACAGTGAAATAATAGGAATTGTCCCATACAGACAAATAAATGAATATGTTAGGCAGAAGCACAAAGTAAGATAAACATGAAAAAGTGACTGTGTTGCCCAACTTCCTAATACCTAGGCGGCTCAGAGGATTAGTTTTTGTGTACATGACTGACCTCCTTATAGATTGTAAGCTCCTTAAATGCAAAGCTCTGTCATAGCATTCTCTTACTTTCTTTGGCACTTAGCGCAGAACTTAAACCAAAAGCTGAGCTGAACTCTGTGCTGATGGGTCACCTCTTGGTTGGCTTTTTGTGTTTTACATTCTGTGGTCACCCCTCTACCTTCCCTCCTTTTTCAATGCCAGCACCTGGTATACTTGCTGATGTTACATGGGTGTTGGCTTCACATGTCCTATGGCTCTGATTATGACACTGTCTTTTTCTTTCCTTGCCCGTGCTTGTGCAGTCTTACTCATTTTCCAAAACCAACTCCTCTAAGAAGGCCTCACTGAGTCTCTTGGTTTATTAACTCCCTTCTCAGTGCTCCCTTTATGTTTGCATACATCTGTTTTGTGTTCAAGTAGGGGATATAAATATATAAACCCAGTAACAATAGAATATGCATTATTGAGGGCAGAGACCAAGCCTTACTACTGCAGATTAATTTTTTTAATCTTTAATGACTTCTTCAGTGCCTTACACATAGTAGGTATTCACTGCTTTTTAAATTGAATGAACTAGGCACAGAACACTAAAGAAAATAGCTATAACTGGGCAAAATTTGTGTTATTTAAGATATAGGTTTTAAACTCAACTACCTTTTTAAAGACCACAATGAGAGGCAAGAGATGTAGAAGCTGTGGGAAAATATATTGAGAGGAGCAGTACAATCAAAGATTAAACCCAAGGAGGAAGGAGGCTAAGGGGCTGAGGTGCTCAGAAGAACTTAACCTTGTTAGAAAGCCAGGAAAACACATGTGCTCAAATGGAGTGACAAAACTTACCTGTTTTTATTACAGGAATACTATTTTCATTTTAATCCTGGATGTTGCTCTTGATGTATTTGTACAGTTGTTTGCATCCCTACTTCACATTTGACAGTCTGACTTCTACATAAAGATCATCCCTCATTTGTTAACCAAGGGATTTGTCCTTCTGACTCTGTGATTCTGTTATTTTGAGGAAACCAGACCCAGTTAGCAGATATTTTCATGGTACCCTGTTAGGCACAAGAATTTTCATCAGTCTTGCTTTTACTACCACTTCCTTTTTTTTTTAATTTGTTAAGGTGACCTTGGTTAATAGGTTCATATAGGTTTCTAGTGTATGTTTCTTTCTTTTCTTTTTTAAAAAAATATTTTATGTATTCTTAGAGAGAGGAAGGGAAAGAGAAAAAGAAGGAGAGAAACACCTATTGGTTGCCTCTCACACATTCCCCAACTGAGGACCTGGCCCACAACCCAGCCATGTGCCCTGACTGGGAATCGAACCAGCGACCTTTTCACTTTGCAGGGCAACACCCAACCAACTGAGCTATACTGGTTAGAACTCAAGTGTACATTTCTATGGTACATGATCTGTAGATTGCACTGTGTGCCCACCACCCAAAGTCAAACAAATCATCTTCTGTCACCATATATTTGGCTCCCTTTGCCCTTTACTACCCCCTCAACCCCTTCCCTCTAGTCACCACCATACTGTTGTCTTTGTGTGTCTTTCAGTTTATAGCCTGCAAATGAATGAAATCATGTGGTTCTTAACTTTCTCTGACTGACTTATTTCGCTTAGCATAATATTCTTAAGGTCCACCCATGTTGTCACAAATGACAGTATTTTATCTTTTCTCATGGCTGTAGTATTCCACAGAATATACGTACCACATCTTCTTTATCCAGCCCTCTATTAAAGGACACTTTGGTTGTCTCTGTGTCTTGGCCACCATGAATTACGCTGCAGTGAACATAGGGGTGCATAAATCTTTGCAAATAAATGTTTTCAGATTTCTCAGGTAGACACCCAGAAGATGTGTTATGCTAGGTCATATGGTAAATCTTATTTTAAGTTTTTTGAGGAACCACCATACTGTTTTCCATAGTGGTTGGAGTAGTTTACATTCCCACCAGCAGTGAATGACGGTTCCTTTTTCTCCATAACCTCCCCAACACTTATTATCTATCTTATTGATAATAACCATTCTAACAGGCATGAGGCAGTATCTCATTGTAGTTTCGATTTGCATTTCCCTAACAGCTAGTGAAGTTGGGCATCTTTTCATGTATCTGACGGCCATTTGTATGACTTCTTGGGAGAGGTGTGTGTCAGGTTCTTTGCCCATTCTTAAATGGATTGTTTGTTTGTTTGTTTGTTATTGAGTTGTATGAGTTCTTACATATTCTGAATATTAATCCTTTGTTGGAGCTGTTTGCAGATACCATCTCCCATTCAGATGATTGCCTTTTGTTTTGTTGTTGGTTTCTTTTTCTGTGCAGAAGCTTTTTAGTTTGGTAGAGTCCCATTCATTTATTTTTGCCTTTAATTCCCTTGCCTTTGGGGTCAAATTCATGTTTTCTATGACCCAGGTCTGTAAGTTTAGTACTTCTATTTTCTTCTGTGTACTTCATTGTTTCCGTTCTTATATTTAGATCTTTGATCCATTTTGAATTAATTTTTGTACAAGACAACAAACTGTAATTTGATGCATTCTTTTGCATGTGGCTTTCCAGTTCTCCCAGCACCATTTACTGAAGAGGCTTTCTCTTCTGCATTGTGTGTTTTGGCTCCTTTGTCCAAAATTTTTTGCCCATATACCTGTGGTTGTATTTCTGGACTCTCAGTTCCATTCCATTTGTCTGTGTATCTGTTCTCCTGCCATTACCATGCCGTTTTGATTATTGTAGCTCTGTAGAATAATTTGAAGTCGGGTAGTGTGATACCTCCAGCTTTGTTCTTTATAAGTGGAGTACATTTTAAAGTGGGTATTTCGGTAAACTATGAGTCTATTTTGGTTGCAAGCTCATAATATGAAAGTATGCTTTGATTTTGAATTAACTATATTGTCAAGGAGTTAGAATTTATGTAGTTTTTCCTCAGAGTTGCTTTTGGTGACTCAGAAGCTTAAGCTGGCACCGTGTCTTGGCAATTAACTGTTTATTGATAGGAGTCTGGGTAAACTGGAAAAGTATTTTCTCCTCACTATAATAATTTATTGCTAATGGGTACATGAGCATATTCCAGCAGGTATCAGAAAGAAAAAGCAAGGGACAAAAATGCTTTTTCTCTGGTTCTTGGACTAATAATAATGCTCTTTGTTTTAAATAATGTTAACTATTGAAAATTAAATGTAAAAAAATCACTGTTACATCCCAAAAATAAGTATTACAAGAAATAACATATAGATCAAGCTCCATAATACAAATAAACGGAGGTAAGTGTCTCCCCTTGCCCTTTATGCTCTAACTCTGCCCCTTCTATCCAGCCTTAGACATTTCAGACTAGCTAACTGTCTCAGACCTGAGAAATCACTCTAATTCTTAATTGTCTTCCCCTCACAGAAAGTGTGACAACTCCTTTGTTTTCCTTTTTATTTTTACTTACGTATGTGTCTTAGCAGTGCAGCTACGGTGCATAAGTCTTCAAGTTTTTCTCTTGTACCTAGACTATCCCTCATAGACCATTCATGAGCTTCTTATCCTTTTTACTTGCTGAAAGCCAGATTTTCTTTCCCTTTAGTGGGTACTAAACAGAAGCAACATTCCTATCTCTTATTCATATGTAGGGTGACATCCAATAGTTAGTTAAGAAACTTAACTGCTTCTTAACACTTAACCCTGTTCTGTTGACAGAGCTTGCAGGGCTCACCACAAAGGTCCTACTGTCCAGTTATGTTTTCACTGAGAACCAGCTGTCTTCTTGCTTCCTTTTCTTATTATTTATCTTGTCACAAGCTTTTCTCAGAATAATATAAATATTTTATAGAAATTCTAATGCATCTACCTTAAGTTATATTATATAGCTATTTGATGTGGGTGATGCTGTGAATTTGTGATTTGCATGGCTTCAGATGTCATAATTTTTCCCCCCACTTTCTAGGAAGTAACAGCTAGCAGTCGCCACTATGTTGACAGGCTATTTGACCCTGATCCCCAGAAAGTTCTACAAGGTGTCATGTAAGTAGTATGTATTTAAGAGTCTATCAAAAGTCTTGTTTGTTTTCATGTTTGAATCTACCAAATATTATAATTCTGAAAATGCAGGGTTATAACTTTTCTTCTGCCGTTTTGGAAAGACCCCTTAACAGTCATGACTTTAATAATTGTACTGTTAAAAATTGTCTTTTGTATGGTTGTTAACTGACATGGTGAGCTTCTTTTTGGTAGAATACTTGTTTTACTTTTTAAATAATGTTTTCTTTGGTGAATGCTTTTGTGACTTTAAAATCCAGCAAAAGCAAGAGAATAAAATTGATGATCTTTTTATCATTGGAAAGGGTTAGGAGGAGAGCTCAGAGGATTTTTTGTTTGCTTGTTTTGATTTTGGTTAACTCATTGATTATCTCTAAGGTTTGAATATCATGGTAATGTTTTAAATATCAGAAGTTAGAAAGCACTCATTACAAAATTTAAATAAACTTTTGATAACATAAATGTCCTTCTCTAAAATTCCCATGTTTAATGAGAGGAGACATTTTTAAGTAACATACTTGAGGTGATTATGCTTTAAAAAATTAAGTGGGACAAGTATAAGATTGTAGCTGATTGAAAATGAATTCTCCAAAGAGCAGATTATCATGCTCTTCACACCTTACTTCTAAGGTATAAGGTCCAGCCTGAGACTCCTCAGAGGGTCGGGAACCATGTAGCACCTGCAGGCCTGAACTATGTCCAGAGGAAGGAGCCAAAAAAGGGTCAGGATGAGATACATTTGGGATAACAGCAAAGGCACAAATGAGTCCCTTTTTTCTCTCATCCTGCTAGTGTAGTCAATAGTACCTTCAGGTTGACTCTCGCTCAACCATGGTATAGAAATTTCTGCTGGCTGCAGTTCTTATTCAAACTCCAATCTCCCTTCTCTCACCACCCCACCCCCTGCCCCCACTACCACCAAGGCATGGTAGAAGGGATACCTTGGGGATGTGAATTTGTAAAGTGGAGGCAAAATATTGAATACAAGTAAATAAAGCTGTTTGTTCAAGTTGAGCTGGAAGGAAAGGTTAGAAGCTGGACTGACACCCATCTGGGATACTTGACACCTACCTTATCTTCACAACTTCTCAGATTACAGAAACAGAAGATGGTACTTCATGTTTTCTCATTATGTTAACTTTACTTTTGTCTCCTTAACTAGGAGACTTTTTAATGATTTAATGAGCCTCTTTGAGACTAGTTTGATTATTACCAGGAAATGTGGTATTAAATGAATCTGTTAAATCAATTTGGGTTGTACTTACATACACAAATTAGTTGAGGGGATAGGTTTAACTTAATACTTCTTCTCCTTAGATAGATAGGCAGATGCTCCACACACAATCAGACAGTGTGTATTGATAATCCTGGAAATAACTAAGTGATTTAATCAAATCACCTAGATTAAGAATCACTTAAGATTCCTCAATAAATAGTTGAAAATGTCAGACTCATTAAGTGCTCAGTGATTGATAGTAGAAGATGTGATTATTTTTATCACTGCTTCTATAACCATAGAAGCATTTAGGAGAATAACTAAATTTATCAATCAAGGATTTTGTGTAAAAGACTGTACTTTGAGTTGTATCTGATATCAGTAGCTAATTCTAGTGTTACTTGTCTATTTCAGAAACTCTATTTACTAAAGAACACTGTAACTTCTTAAAAATTGATAAAATATCAAGTAAAGCATATAAAATTGGAAAGAGTGCATTATAACAATCAGTTAAAGTATAGTTTTCTAGCCTTAGTGCCTCTTAAAAATGTATCAAGTTTCAGGCATTTAGCTGTTGGCTAAGACAGATAAGAAAGGTTTTTTGTGAAGGGGTGGTGGAGTGGGAAGAACATGGAGTCGGACAACAACAGTATGTTGAATTCCTGGTTCTGACATTTTGTGGTGGAGTAATTTACTGTCTGTAATTTCCTCCAGCCTTAACCTCATCGTCTGTAAAGGGAGAGTAATACTGCCCATCTTGCCAAGTTGTAAGAATTAAGCCAGACATACAAAATTCAGTACCTGATATGTTGTGGATACTACAAATTAGCACTTAAGTGGTTAGTCAGTATTGGCCCCAATTTAAAACAACTTCAAAAATTAGATGATTCTCCTCAAAGAAGAGAAAGGAAAATGCAAATAAAAATATCAAACAGATAAAACAATTCAAACTGAAAGAGAAAAGGGAGAAGGGCTAGAATTCTTGATTCAGAGAAGAGAATGCGAGTGATAACACATTCTGGCAAATGTCATTGCTACTTATAATACTAAAATCTGTTTATAGTTTTAAAGAGACAGATCACTCAGAATCATTCTATTTTATGTCAGAATAGAACTGGCCTTATAGGACTGTGTGTAGTGTGATTTGATAAAGCTTTCTTTTCCTCAGAGAGAAATATTTATTTTCTGACTTAGTTTTTTCCTGAATTTTGGAACTGTCTGAAAATTAATTTATATACAGGGTCTAGCACAAATAATGCCTCCTTTTTTATTACAGAATCTTTTATTACTAAATCATAAGCATGTTTATTCTGTAACATAATATCACACTTAAGCACTCCATATGACATTTTAGGCGAAATATTCAAATTAAAGCTATAAATCATTACACCCATATTAATCACCCTACCAACCACACTCAAGCAGGTGTTACTTCTGCTGGACCTGGTAAAGTCAAGAGAATAAGTGAATTATATTTTTATTTTTAAGTAATCATGTCTAATATTGGAATAATACAATGTTGATAGAGGAAAGGGGGAATCAAAATGAGGTTTTGGAAAGGAGAATTGACCAGTTTTTTCCTTTTTATGCACATTACACAGACACTATTGAGTCAACGAGAGACCATTACTAGACCAAAATAGGTAGGTAGAAGGGAGGTGGCCACAGAGTATAAACAACCATGGTAGCCTATGAAATTTAGGGAAGGAAGAGACAGAGGCTGAAGTAATAGGCTTTGAATCCAAAATATCCCATTGGAAAGATATGAAAGAATTTACAGTTAGCTTTATCTGCAAGACAACAAGAGTTTTTATTATTTTTATAGCTATATTGAACTGGTTTTTCCCAATAAGATTGTGAACATGTAAAACATACTAGCAGGAAAAACAAAAATTGAAAAGTTAAAGGTGAATAGTGAGTTTTCATTATGGTCTATAGCTAATCTGCCCAGCTGAGTTACAGGCATATAGCCTTAACCGAAAATATAGGGAACTTCTTTGTAGATAACATCATAAAAGGACCATTTTACCTACTCAGTGAGTAGGTAATAGAACCAGAAACAAAAAATTAGACCAGATCTCTCTGGTAAACTCAGGCAGTTGTGGATACTATACAATTATTCTGTAGTTTTCATTTCACCAACTGACCATTTCTAAAAAGTATCTTCTGAAGTATATTTTAATGTATTGATCAAATAAGGTTATTTTAGTAGTGATTATTTGACTTTCCAAGAAATTATGTGCCTCTGGTTTCAGTATGATACAGGGAGGTTCCATTTTCTTACGTGAGCTGAAGATATGAGCTCCCATAAAATTAAGCTTTTGGTTTTTAAGAAATTTTAAATTAAAGGGTAAGTTTTAGAATAATTCAAAACAAATATCCTCATAAAGGAATATATACATATGTATTTATATATATTTATTCCCTTAATACTTTTTAATCAGTTACTTTTAAAAAGTTTTATAGGTAAATATAAACAAAGATGACTTTAGTACCAAATTAAATGGAGTGATTCTGAGTCTTACTTGTTTAAAACTGTGTATTCTGAGACGATTCAGTCAGAGAAATGTGATTTAAAGGCTGGCAAGATTCTTCAGAAATTACTATGTCAGATGGACATAGTTTTTTCTTATAGTTAGATAAGCTGTTTGTATATGTGGAATTAACTTTGATACCTAGAATATCTGTATTTGTAAATGTGCATGTATCTTTCACATTTCTAAATCACTTAACTATATATAATATATAGTTATATACATTTTATGTATATATAATATATAGTTATATACAACATATTATGTATATATAATATAATATATAATATATATAGCCACATTATTCCACAATGCTTTAACACATTTTTATGTTCTTTGAAATGACTATATGTATTCAAATTATGTATTATTATTTTGGCACTTTTAATGCAATTATTAAATGTCACATTATTGGAGAATATCAGGTGCTTTATAATCATATATTTGTAAAATAAAGAGTGAAATACAATAACTCCTAATTTCTGAGCAGGTATTTATACAAATTGCAACTATATCTAATACTACATACATTCCAAAAATCTACACCATAGGGTAATTTGTTTATAAGAATGAACTAAATTACTGCCAATTCTCAGTTCTGTTCAATTTGTACATATAGTAGGTGCACAATAAATGGCCGAGTTGAGTTGAAGTTTGCTATAAATTTCTCAAGTGCCTATTAGACTAAAGCTTTATATTAAACATAAATTTATTTATTTTTGATCATCTGTTTTACTTATTTTTGATGATCTGTTGATCATCATTATCAAGTTCTTTTAAAATTGGCAGTTCTCATATGGAAATAGTAACTTTAATTGGAATATGTCTATATCTCATTTCTTAACAATGCTGGATAATAGAAAACTTACTGTGCTTGGATGTTTGGATTTAATATTCTCCCAAAATAACATTATAATAATTATAATTAAAGGAACAGAGCAGTGACTATGTAATTTGTCAAGTCCTAATAATTTAGTAAGTTGTTTATTTACCACGTTGCCTTGTTCTAGCTAGTATTTTTTCCTTATTTTATGGATGTCCTAATGAACAGTGAGTTTTCATAAGTAGGTCACTTTATTTATACTTAGATGGCAGTTTTCAGTATCCAGTGTATTTTTGGGCTACTTGACACCTATTAGATCAAGAATGAATGTACAATATACCAAATAAGAGCTTCTTCAGGTAAGCAAAAATAATACTGATTCAAAGTGAAAGTGACTTAATGGATCTTTTAG